AGCCACAGACTCTGCTAAGCGTAAGGACTGGCATAAACTCCACAACTCTTCAACACCGGAAATCCCCAAGTCGAGCCCTACAACCAGCTGTGGACGCCATTTCAGACTAGACTTTTGGAGGGGTATGTGTAATCCAAAAGTTTAGATCTGAGGGCAAGATTCACATACAAGTGTATACTCTACTAAAAACTAGCGCGTCGCCCGTTTAGCTACTCAAGGACTTATTGCACGTCGGAGGTCAGCTCCGCGATGTCCTCGTTATCCATACCGAGAAGGTAGAGGACATCGACAAGGCTCTCGCCGTTGATGCGGACGGGAGCCTCCAGTTGGACCTTGGACTTAGCGCGCCAGGCGACACCAAGGCCTGCAGCGTGGAGCATCAGGAGATCGTTGGCGCCATCGCCGACAGCCAGTGTTTGCGAGAGGGGGATTCCGTGCTCAGCGGCGATGGATTTGAGGAGAGTGCGCTTGTGCGCAGCGTCGACGATGGGGTAGGACGGCACCAATTTTCCGGTCAGGGTCTGGGTGGCCTCGTCGATTTCGAGCTGGATGGAAAGTTAGATTGGATGAAACGGAAATAGTAAGAGGAAAACAGGAGACGCTTACGTGGTTGGCAATGGCAATGTCGATACCGAGCTGCTCGGCTAGCCACTCGGCGAGGGGCTGGAACCCGCCACTCACCACGGCGATCTTGTAGCCCAGAGCCTTCAATGCGCGGCAGAGCTCACGGGCGCCCTTGGCGATTTTCAGAACGGACTTGAGCTTCTCGAAGACATCTGACGAGACGCCGTTGAGAAGACCAACGCGTTCCTTCAACGACGCGGTAAAGTCTAGTTCGCCGTTCATGGCGCGCTCAGTAATTGCCTGCGTTCATATTAGTCACTGGTATATAAATGTGAAGCCTTGACAGTTAGAACTTACGGAAACCTCCTTCTCAACACCGATGAACTTGGCGATTTCGTCAATGCACTCATTGTCAATCAAGGTGCTATCCATGTCGAATACAGCCAGGCGCTTGTGGCGACGGAAGACGCTCTCCTTTTGCAAGACAACCTCGACATTCCACTCGCGCTCAAAACGCCAGATGCTCTCATGCTTGCGCAGATCTGGGAACGAGAGATACTCCGGGTTTGGTGGGGGAGAGAATGTGACCTCCACGACGCGGGGGTGTTCGTCGCGGTCAAGACAGCGGTGCGAGGTGTTCATGCGCTGGTAGGGAGTGGGGAGAGTTTCCAAGATCTGAAGGAAATTGGTCAAGCACAGCTGAGAGACGTATGGGCCGTAAAGGTGATCCAGTGGCTCCGGCTCTGGAGCAGGCGGCTCCCGCGGGAACTTATCCATGTCTTCTGTCGGGGCAGAGCCTTCGGGCACCTTGGGAGTTGGGAGTTTGTCGCCTGGTGCATTTTGAGGGCCTGAGTCGGGGTGGAAGTGGGGGTGAACGGGGTTGTTAGATTTGTAGTAGATGGTCGCGACGATTTGCGACGTGCCGGTTGGAAGAGGATTTGCGTGGTGGTTGAAAATGCTGTGGACGATGCCGCTGTCGGTGACCCTCTCCGGGTCTGGTTTGATTGGATTCGAGCTAAGGACCAAGTTATCCTCAACCTGGTGAGCAAGAACCTCGCCGATGGTTTGACTGATTGAGTTGATTGGAGCCATGGGCTTGTACTGCTGGTGGTCCTGCAGGAATGAACTGCTGCGCATTTGGCCGAGGGATGGCCTCGTGGTGCGGGTAGAATCTGCCATGGTAAACTACTAGCTAGGGGATCTGGTAGAGAGTTATTTGCGAGTTGAGTCTATCTTGAGAGATCCCACACTTCCGAAGATCACAAAAGACTTGCGCCGATCGGCACGTGGGACTCAGTCCCCACTAATTCACGTGATGTTGGTACCCCTCTCACGTGTGATACCGCCTGGCAGAATTGATAATGAGGCTGATTGAGATGGACAACCCCCGGGAATAAGATGAGCTCGACTTTGGGATAAGCGCTCATCCAGATCCACCATGACTTCAGAGTATGACCATTCTATTCATGGATATAATAGTATACTGTCCAATCTATGTACGGAGTACATAGTATGACAACCACGGTTCCTCTATCGGATATGTCCAGGTTTATTGGTGATTAAGAAACCTGCTAATTATATGATGTAGGAAGATCTAACCCTTGGGAGAATACTCCCAATAATCGGAGTTATTCATCATCGACCGGGTTGGTCATCGTCAATTACCAAGATCCGGAGGGGGTAACCTTTCCAAGATTGGTATCAATAAGCTACGACCCTGAATAATCACATTCTACGCCATTCTGTTCAAGAATGGGCAGAATCGACTTCGATATTCTGCCAGTCTGGCCCTACAATACCTATCATGGGTCCACCGCCTTCTATAAATGACATCCTCTCCACTTTGAGAAGGCGGTGGGGCAAAAAGAATTCGAGCACGCAATCGCCAACGATGGCGTGCTTGAGTGGTTTTCATTCCCCACTCTGATGACTGACCAATTGAATCATTGCCTCGTCGAAATGAAGAATATCGGAAGAAGAGTATGCGAGGAACGGATCTCCGGATGATGTGATTGCCCCTACTGTTCTTATATTCTCGCTCCGATTGTCCTCTGAGACTTTGTTCTTCATACTCCTCTTCAATCTCTTCATACATCCAATACTCCAATATCTTCTCTGTAAAGGTCATCTCCGTGCCATCTATATCACCTTTCAATATGCCGGCCAAGATGCCCAACAACTACTCCTCAGAGATGGAGGGCATTGACAACCATGATGCTATGACTGAGTCAGGCTATGTCAGTGCTGGCTCTGGTTCTAGCGAGGAATATGTCCCCGAGATTGTTTTTACCAAGCCCCATCTTCAGTTCCTCAACCGCCAGTTGCAATTCCTTGAGCCCCAAGGTTCGTACTGATGATATCCATAATGACCCCTCTTTCCGGAGACCCTATATCTGACTCCTCCTTATAGAAATCTTGAAATGGTGCATTACTTCGCTTCCTCATCTCTTCCAGACCACTGCCTTTGGTCTCACAGGTCTTGTCACCTTGGACATGCTGTCGAAGCTGGAGGTTCCTCGCCCCCAGATGGTTGATCTTATCTTCCTTGATACTCTGTACCACTTCGATGAGACCATGTCCCTGGTCGACCGTGTGCGTCGCAAGTACCCCAACAACAACGTGCACATCTATAAGCCCGCTGGCGTCGACACCACTGCCGAATTCGAAGCCAAGTACGGCACCAAGCTCTGGGAGGTCGACGACCAACTCTACGACTGGGTCGCCAAGGTTGAGCCCGCTCAGCGTGCCTACCGTGAGATGAACGTTCACGCCGTTCTCACTGGCCGCCGCCGCAGCCAAGGTGGCAAGCGTGGTGACCTCGACATTATCGAAGTCGACGAGGCCGGCCTCATTAAGATCAACCCCATGGCCAACTGGTCCTTTGACCAGGTCAAGCAGTACGTTAAGGAGAACGATGTGCCCTACAACGAGCTCCTCGACCGTGGCTACAAGAGCATTGGTGACTGGCACTCCACCCAGCCCGTTGCTGAGGGAGAGGACGAGCGATCTGGTCGCTGGAAGGGACAGCAGAAGACTGAGTGTGGTATTCACAACCCTCGGTCCAAGTACGCCCAGTACTTGATGGAGATGGAGCTCAAGCGTCAAGAGGAGGCTCTCTCACAGGCTCTGCACACCCAGGTGACGCCTGTTGTCTGATCTCTTCTTTTGCCTCCTTCCATTGCATACCCCTCGGCGTTCCTTCTGTGATACCTCTCTGTTTTTTTCCTCTGTTTTTCAAGCGGTTTCTTACGAAACGGTACAAAAAGTACATTTTGCATTTACATCCTCCCTGCACAGGGAGTCGAGTTTAGTTCTCAGGCCCACTATGGCAATTGTTTGAGACATGATAATGATATTCATATGATAAATGAAATATAAAATTTTTATTCTTGATTTCACTCTCCATCTCCATACATGTAAATCTGTTGCAATAACTCTAGATTTCTTTTTGGTCCTTTCATTTGTGTTGACAAGGAGGGTCACGTGTGGGGTCAACCCTAGTTTTCTCCCAATCCTCAGGCATCACGGTATCAACGCTAATCTACACAACAGATACCTGAATAGTTGTTGAATAGTATTTATCTTTCCAACATCTAAGCAAGTTACATGGCGACAGAATGTAGAAAAGATGGTCATCCTACTGGGGACTCCAAGTACGAATGCGAGTCAGAGCGTCACGAACACATAGACCTCCACAAAGCCCAACCCGGGTCTTAGCGCTTACAAACCGGCCTCTTATACTCACTGTATTCTAACCTGGTAAAAATTTCGATTTTTGATTATAGAATCATAATAGCTATATAAGTAAGTATCTTAATTTTAAACATAATCCGACTAGTAAAGGCTAAGATATCGTGGAAACGTTAATGTTAATGTTGTGATCCTGGATATATATCTGAGATTCAGACGAGAGTACCACTACTTTCTAAGTAAACCTCTATAAATCATAAATCATCTAAACAACGCGTTTTCTTGCGTTTTTAAAAGTAATATATAAGCTGAATTAATAAAAAAATCCGAATTGATTGAAATACTAAAATATTACCCCGAGACAAGGACTAGAAACCGAGTCTAAACATAGGGCAATTAGAAAAAGTTATGTTTTTCGGAATATCTATTATATTGTTTAGGGCCCAAAACCCAGCCGATTGGTGGGTCGGGTTAGGCTGTGCCACAGGCTTCATGGGCTCTGAGGAGGTCTACTAACGCAGAGCTTATTGCGACCTACAATACCGCGAAAGGCTCCAATGTTCGGTGGATTGGCGGATACAAACACGCATAATACACAGGGTGGCTGTATTGCTGAATTGTGTACATGCGAAGCATAAAGACTTGATATCTGAGTTGATTGACCGCAGCACGTGGCATATCAAAATAATTGATTCCAAATATCGTAGAGATATGTTAACAGAAAAAATATCAAAGAACTCCCAAACTCAATAATAAATATCAGCCGCACATTCCAGTCCATGAGCCTCAGCGTTCGCGCTTTGACACTCCATCGAGCAATATGAGACTTGCAAGCACTGAGTACACGGATGCAAAGGCTTATCCATCGACGGAGTAAACCCACAATTCTTACAGGTCATCTCAACATTCTCGACTCCGCTATCTGGGAGATCATACATAGCCATAGCCTCCACCAGGCCCTTGCTCCACTTCGTCCAGCACGCCTCGGCACTGCGAAGCTCTTCAGCGGTAGTGACGCCAACGTCACACAGCTCGCGTCTCATACCAATTGCCTGGCACCTACGGGACACAGCCTGCGCAAGGCTCTCGTCAGTAGTGCTCCAGGTGAACGGCGCGAATGGTTCCATGTTGCTGCCCATCTGGGGAATTGGGCCCGGCTCATCGAATCGGTTGACGAATGCCTCCAATAGCAAAGGTACAATAATTTTGGCCTGCTCGTCGGGCGAGAGAGGGGAAATCCGGGACCGGCCCTCGCACTCATGGTGGTTGTTGTATGGATTTGCGAAGAATACAGCTTCGCCTGGGACTCCCGGAAGAGCCTTCACGGCGAAATGGTAGTGGTTGCGTTTCCCGGATGCATCCTTCTCCGGGCGCTGGAGAGCATTGAAGCTCTGTAATTGCGAGGCAGTAACACTTTCCATTGTTGTGGTAATGACGAAAAAAAGGAAGGCGAGGATGTTTTAAATTCTCCGAATTTTGTTGCGTTCAATTAGCCTTGAATGATGATCCACAGGTTGAAAGGCTTGGCGCCCCGCGGACGAACTGCCATCTTTCATGCTTCATCTTGACTTTTGAGAGCCTATTTCACCAGAAAAGGTTGTAAAGAAGTCTTGCAAATTTCGTATCACAATGTGGTTAAATCGTCAAGTCCCAATCTTGATAGGGGCACGTGTCAGGCGCTAGTCCTGCGCCACTCATTGGGCGCCTGAAGGGCCAGCTTGGAACATTGAGGACGTGCTTATTGAGTATAAGCCACTTATTCTCATCTTTATTGTCACTGTTGCTCTATACTTTACTTGCTTTTATTTCTCTCAGCCATTGCGCGGCCAGCATGAAGCGACTTCTGAGATTCAAACGCCGAAAGGCAAGTAGCGGTGACACCCAGGGGAACAGTGCAATCACTCCCCCTCCACCTGTGGGGCCAGACATAGCCACACCTTCTACAAGTCCAATACCTGCTTCCAGCCTCTCATTACCGGCTACAGGCCCTTCAGTTGCGACTACCAGTCCTTCCCCGACCACTGTGAATGCCGCGCAGTTACAAACAGGGCAAGCTGTAGTGTCCCTCTCGCCCCCTGCAGGTTCCTCGCCCACACTTTCTATAAGCCCGAGCCATGACATCGGCACATGGCATCGCGCCTACGAAATAGCTGAGGATCGAGAGCCAGAGTTGATGACATATTACGCAAGTCACCTAGCCTCTCTACAAGTTAACCCCACCAGCAAAAAGGATATCTCAAATGCGGAATTTGTCGAAGATGTCGTAAAGCAGCTGCTGGAAGACCGAGAAAAGAAACAATGGCGGCTTTCTCTCCTAGGAAAAAATATCATCATCCGAAAGCAAGCCGAGAAACTAGCAAAGGTTCTCTTATGGTCTGATCCTGTTGTCAAAAATGCTGTTAGCTCACAACCATATGCGGCACTTGCATGGTCTAGTATTTCTATTCTTCTTCCTGTGAGTTTACTTCTTCTCTTGCTCTAGGTTAGATGCTTATACATATATCTATAGCTACTGACAAGTGCTGTCACACCGGATGAAGCTATGCTGAAAGGTTTCAGCTCGATCAGCGATGTTCAAGTCTATTGGACAATTTTCGAAGAGACTTACCTGAGCTCTTCCCATCGGCAACACTACGAAAACCTCATCGAGCCTTTGGCCAAGCTCTATTCCTACATTATTGAATACCAAGCCCGTGCCATATGCCACCTTTCAAAGACCCAACTTTCCCGCGGGTGGCAGAACGTAGCGGGTGGGAATGACTGGGCTGGAAAGGCGAGTGAGATTGAAGCTTTATCAAGGACTTGCAGTAGCCTGATCTCGCACGATAACGAGAAAGAGATTCGAGAGCGCTGGGGTGTTCAAATACGTGAAATTCAAGAGTCAAGTGCTATTCTTAAAGAGATCCGACAAGTCCTCGATGAAAGCCAAAGGCAAACCCGGGAGAACTACGAAGACAAGGCGGGAAAAAACCTCTTACAAGACCTGGCTTCCGATTATGAGGGATATAAAGACTTCAATCGTCTCAGAGTCCAAGGCACGTGTGAATGGTTCTTTAATGATGAAAAGTTCCATAAATGGCGCGATAGTGACACGTCTGGGCTTTTATGGCTCTCTGCTGGACCTGGATGTGGAAAATCGATTTTGTCGCGAGCGCTTATTGACGAACGTCGACTGTGCTTGAATGTCACAACTTCGACCGTTTGTCACTTCTTTTTTAAAGATGGCTACGAAGACCGCATGTATGGCGCCAATGCTTTATGTGCAATACTCCACCAACTTTTTACTCAAGACTCTACCGGGGCCCTAATCAAGCTAGCTCTGCCTGCTCACAAGAATTACGGTAAATCTCTTACAAGAAGCTTGTCTGGGCTATGGAATATCCTTCTTGATTGCGCCAAGAGCCCTCACACCGGAGAAATTGTTTGTATTTTTGATGCCCTAGATGAATGCGAGGAACAAAGCAGGTTGCAATTGATCAGCAAGCTCAAAGAGTTCTATTGCCAGCCACAGGGCTCTTCGGCATTATCTTCGAAGCTCAGCTTCCTTATAACCAGTCGACCATACACTGAGATAGAGAGAGAGTTTGAGGGGTTCTCTACAACAGAATACCTGCATTTTGACGGCGATAAAAAGTCACCCGCCATCAGTCGGGAGATTGATCTCGTCATCGATGAGCATGTGAGACAAATCGCAGGCAACTTCACCCCTGGTGATCAGCTGGAAATCTCAAAACGTCTCAAAGGCATGGAGAACCGTACCTACCTATGGCTCTATGTCATATTTGAAACAATCAGGGAGGACCCAAGTCGCCACGGAAAGCGGTCCAGCATCGAAAGACTATTGAACAATATACCATCAAGGTTATCAGAGGCGTACGAAATAATTCTAGGCAGAAGCAAATGCCAAGAAGAAACCGAACGTCTTCTTGAGATCATTCTTGCTGCGGCGCGGCCTCTAACTCTTGATGAGGCCAACGTCGCCTTGACATTGGCTTTGGCAGAAGAAGATTTCGCGTCACACTCAGCCTTGGAGAATGATCTATGGCCCAAGAGCAATTTCGAAAGCATTATCAAAGGTCTAAGTGGCCTCTTCATCAGCGTTCACGATTCAAAGCTGTTCCTCATCCATCAAACAGCAAGGGAGTTTCTCATCGACCCTTCGGGTCGTGGTACGTGGGAAGGGCGTTTGAGCATGTCTAAATCATCCAGTGCCATATCAAGAACTTGTATTCGGTTCTTGATGCTCCCTGATCTTCACACAATTCTCAAGGGTGGGGGCTTTTCGGAACATGAATCTGATGGAGATTTTTCAGATGGATCTAGGAAAGATCTTTCGGATCATAGTGAATCACCCGAGGGAAGCTATTCGGACGATGATGAATCCGAGGGAAGCTATTCGGACGGTGATGAATCCAGCGAAGATCTCTCGGATCATAGTGAATCACCGGAGAGAAGCTATTCGGACAATGATGACACGAATAGCTTTATTTTTGACCACCTGTCCCCATTTTTCCGCTATGCAGCCACTCACTGGACGTTGCATTTTCTATCACAGGAAGCGGCAGCCATTGATCAGTCTTTGAAAGATGCGCGTACGCTTTGTGATTCCCGCCAGGCATGGGTACAGGTAGCAAGATACAAAGGGCTACTAAGACGGACACCAGACTTTCAGTACATGACCGATTTGTCATTGGCGAGTTATCTTGGGTTGAAGCAAGTGGTCGAGAATATCTTGTCAAAGGAACATGTTGATGTCAACATTGAAGACGAGTCTTCAGGATCCGCACTTTCGGCGGCATGCTTCGCAGGCCGGTCAGATATTGTCACGCTCTTATTGAATAAAGGAGCCAATCACAATGCCCCTTACACACATGGCACGGCTCTCCATGCAGCTCTTCTCTCCCATCACCATGACATTGTTTCTATACTCCTTGAGAATGGAGCCGACGCTAACAGCGAGAGTGAACATCTCGGCACAGCGCTTTACCTGGCCTCAACTCGAAAGAACACAGATAGTGTCCTTAGCCTCCTGAAATGGGGCGCAGATGTCAACCGTAGACAAGGAGAATTCGGAACAGCCTTGTGCGGAGCTTCTCTCCGAGGCAGCCGGGAAACTGTCGAAGTCCTTCTCAAGAATGGGGCCGATGTCAACATCCAAGACGGACGGGAGGTCACGGCGCTCTATATAGCATCTCACGAAGGCCGCCCAGATGTTGTAATTGATCTGCTAAATCATGGTGCTGACATCAATTATAATCACCCAAGTAAGGGTACGGCACTGCAAACAGCATCCGGACAAGGCAGCGAGAATACCGTCGCAATACTCTTAGCGAATGGAGCCGATCCTAACCTCATAAGTGAAGGGTATTATGAGCCCGCGATCCACGAGGCATCATTCTACGGTTATCAGGGTATTGTCGAATTGTTACTCAAGTATGGAGCTGATGTCAATCTCCGAGGCACAAAGAAGGCCACAGCGCTCCAGGTGGCTTCGTGGAAGGGTCATCGAGAAATTGTTGCATTGCTCCTCGATCATGGGGCCGACATCACCATAAAAGGGGAAGCGGAATTCTGGGACTCGGACGGCTACTGCTATACGCGCACGGGCACGGCGCTCGATGTGGCAACTGAGCGAGGCCATGCGGAGATTATGGAAATGCTAGCTAAGGCAGAGGCCCAGGCTTGATTTAGCACTTGAATCAACAAGCCGAATCGAAACTAATGCAGTTTGTGGTTATGATATGAGACTATTTCTATTCTTCGAGTGCCGCGTGTATCCTTTCCAAAGCCACTCTCAAATAGTCATGGCCCTGAGTAAACACAATTCGGAACCAGCCATCCTTCTCAGACCCGAAAAGAAAGCCGCTAGCCAAAAAGACCTTCTTTTGCAAAAGGCGCTGCATAACCGGTTCCCCGACATTCTCACTTTCATCCTCCGGGTGAAGCTCGCGGTATTTCTTTCCAAGGTTCATCCAGACGAAGAATGCCGCATTGCATCCTGTTGCATATTCAATTCCGTGGTCTTTCAGGTAGTTCACGGTGTATGCATAGGATTCTGAGAGCAGCTTCTGATTTTGCTGAATATACCGAGTGGTGAATTCGAAGTCTTCAAGCATGAGAGAAGTCAAGTGGTCCGTGATTCCAGAAGCATAAGAATAAAGCGCCGGGCCTGTCAATGCCGCGTGAACATCTCGGTTGGCCTGGGAGATAATGACACCGAGTCGGATACCGTTTGCGCCAAAGTCTTTGCTCATACCCCAGAGGACATGAACCAGACGAGGGTCGATAATGCCAGTCAGATCAATGGAGAGGGCGGATTCGAATTTGACAGGTGGTGGAGATTCATCGACGGTATTTTCAAAGACCGAAAGCGCATAAATTTCATCACTGATGAAATGGATCTGATATTTCTGGCACAGCCGCATCAACTTAATGAGCACTTCCCTGGAATAGCATCGTCCGAGCGGATTGTGAGGATGGGCTATAATCAAAGCCTTGACTTTCTTTCCCGTCGTTCGATGGAACTCCAGCAACGCTTCTTCATACTTATCCACGCCGTCGAGGCCGAGAGGATCGTGTTCACCGAAACTAACAGGAACCACAGGACTCCCTGAACGCAGCGAGATATCAGGAATGAACATGCCGTAGTACGGTCTTCCTAGCAGGACTCCCTCGCCGGGATCGGCGAATGTCCACACAACATGCTCGACCGCAGACGAGACGCCGTTAGTCGCCATGACATGACTGGCCTCGAGAGGGACAACTGGCTTCAGGTTGTGGTTCAAGAAGGCGGCGATGGCGGCCTTCAATCTGAAAGAGCCGCATCCGCCGTCGTTGTATGTGAGATACTTTGCCGGTAGCTCGAGCTTTTTGTTGATAAATTTCAAGAGCTCGGAGTGCATCAGGGTGTTCTCTGCTACGCCCACGTTGACATATCCGTTCGGGTTTGTGGATGGGTCCCACAGATCCTTCATCACATCCCACATGGGATTCTCGGATCCTGCGTCGACAACATCTTGTGCCCGGCGGGAGAGAACTGATTGAGTCATTTTGGAGGTTGTCTCAGAAGAGTTTTTCACAAGTTGAAAACAAGGCCGAGTGAGTGTAGGGGATGAGTTGAAACCAATTAGTAAATTAAGTTCTTCAAATATCCACAGGGTCGGTTACTGTCGGCCGGAAATGGTAAGTCTGCGTATCTCCATGTGAAGGGCTGATTGATATGGATTGTCATACCCGAAGGGCGTATACGAAGTGGGTCCTATTCTACCAACAGATTCTGTACGGAGTACGGAGTACTATTCACTTATTCACCACCATTTCATAGAGAACTCATTGAGAATTCGTGTTCCGGGGCGCCAGGGTCCCGGGAGTGAACTCCACCTATACATATACGCCGGACTTTTTAGGCTCTAAATGGCTTTCCCTTTTTCAGTGCACACCCTTGCCGCTTTTTAGTCGCCAAGTCATAATATTACATAATCATTCAACCCGCGCCCGAGGTCGGCGTTATCACCTGATCACCTGAGGACGAGCTAAGTCAGCAGCCTAGGCAAATGCACAGTCGTTCAGCACTCTAAATGTTGTCCCAACCTGGCGGTAGATCCTAATTATTTTGCCTTGAGCTGAAAGTGTCACATTGATTGGGATTACTATTTTGCAGCTATATCTCTATTCAGCTCGTCAAGTCTCGCATCCATGATACCGTTTCTATATAGTTGCGGGGAATATCTAGGCGAACCAGTATGCAGCAGCTATTGTTTTGGAGGAAGTTGAGGCTGTGGAACTTAAGGAAATTGATCCTCTGCCTTTGAATCCTGTGGCGTATCCGCAGAGGCCTACGTGTCGGCATTCTAGTGGGGTGAATTTTATGCCTCAGGATATCGTGTTTAATTGTGCCGTGGGGTTTATTTTGAAGCTGTGCGGCGTGATGTGGTGTGAATGAAGAATATTTTTTGGGTTTCGGGGTTTGATGTATGGCCAGAGGTAGAATGGAGGTTTGGATTGGGTGTGTTTTATGCAATTCAAATTTATGGGTCTCTGTAGTTCGGTGTTCGGCTTTTGATGTGGGGAGGATCATAGCTTCACGCCGAAGCTTGGCATTGACGTCAAGAAAAAGAAATACAAATTTGAATTGATACTCTGCTGTTGGGCTAGTCCGAATTTGTCCTAATTAATCTAAGGCCAAAGCACAATCCTCAGAATACAGGAAAAACAGAATAACAGGAAAGGCTAAGCCTTCCACGTTGACTTCCAGCTGGCATCCTGGAAAGGCCATCCGCCAAGTCCAATACTAAGCTGATTGCTTTCTTCAATCTCCTTGGCCTTAGCCTTGAGCTCATCAACATCCCAGTTTGTCCACAAAAACTTGCCCTTCAAGAAGCGAGCCTCGGGGCTTGCAAGCCAGACACTGAAGCTCGCCGGCAAAGATACTACAAAAATCAGCTTCATGTTCACCCTGATCAGAAATCAAACATTGACTTACCATGATCCTCAAATCCAATAGCTTTAACACCTCCAGCCTCTCTGTTCATTGCGGTATCCACAATACCAGGCTGGATATGGAACACGCTAATACCTGGATTCGCAAAGGCAAGAGAATCCCAAAGTCGGAATACAGCAAATTTGGCGACGCTGTAAGAAGCAAACCCAGGACCGAAATTCACATGCGCAGCAGATGAATTGATGTCGATAGCAACGGCATCAGGCGATGCATGGCGAAGGAACGCCTGGGCAACCGCCAGCGAACCTTTCAGGTTATCCTGGATAGCTTCAAGGAACCTGTCGCTGTCGACATTTCCCACGGCCTCCTGCGGCCCAATGACAGCTGCACCACTAACCAGAATATCAATTGGTCTGTCACCAGCGAATTTAGAGAAAGCTGCGTCCACTTGGGATTTGTTCGTGACATCGGTGGGGGCCACGAATACCTCAACGTTGGGAAATGTCTTTTCGATGGAGGCTTTGGTCTCGAGAAGCGGTTGTTCTCTGCGGCCAAGGAGGGCGATCCGAGATATGCCTGCTTCGGCGAAGTGGCGAGCAGTCTCTGACCCGATGCCTGTACCCCCTCCGGTCACTACCAGTGTTCTGCCTTTGGCAGAAAGCTCCGGTCGGCTGGGGGATATAGAAGGGTAGGCTTCCGAGTGCCATTTTGTGGTCGGGGATGGGAACGGGGCTGCCATGGCTATAAAATGTATTTATGTATCGAAATATTGTTTTTGCTTGTTGATGGAGAGTATGCTTTCTGAGGGACAGCGTCCATTCTTATATGTGTAGCTCATTTCGGCCAACGGGGTTTGGCAATTTGCCAGTGTCGGTTCATCGGAATTACAATATTGACTCGAATCTTAGGTAGATAGCATTGCTGACAATTGTTCACTAACGTGGCCAGAGATATGTTCGGGGTCGTTGAATCACGGCATTTACAAAATGTCCCGTCCGAGCTGACAAATACCCCGCCCAGGACCTCACATCCCCAGACAGCCCCGATGGACCTTTCCTAATAGGACAATCAATGAAGTATTTCCGGGATATACAAACGACGGTCTAAATTGAAATGTCCGAGAAAATTACTCAATCCGTCTTGCGATGCACTGAGTGTAACAAACCGTTCGATAAGGGCAAGTTTCACCGCTACTAGAAACTGGTCCCCCAACTTACTAAATTAAGTGGATTATAGAGTCCACGCTGAAGAGACATGGGTATTACTGTCGGTCTCGAGCCACTGGGCATACTCCTCGACCCAGGTCTTGTCACTTTTGTGCAAAAACGAAGACACGTTGCGATAAAAAGTGGCCCAAGTGCTCGAGATGCACCGCCAAGGGCATTGAATGCCAGTATAGCTCAAAGTCGCCGAAATCTCAAAAACTTGCTATCCAGGACAACGATTCCTTGAATCTCTCTAATTGCCAAGCAGATTTGAATAGAGATACTATGCGCCATGATGAGCTTGTTGTTGTAGACCAAGAGATTACAGATCTTGCACGCGAATATTTCAACTGGGATGTACCAGATTACAACTTTGCGGAATTTTCGAATCTCCATACAAGCCAGACGAACCTATATCCTTGGACTGGGGGTTCTCCAGTCTCTCCAATCACGCCTCCGATTGACCAAGAATTTCAAATCAATATTCCTATCACTGCCAATTGGTCAATGCCAGCATCCCCGACGCCCAAGCCCCATTCACTCATCAAAAGACCAAAGATCAACGCTGGGATAGAACGAACAGCCAAGCTGTTGCTACATACGCTAAAATCTTATGTTTTCACAATGCTGCGCCACAACTCTCTTCCACCGTTTATCCATCCATCCTTAGTGCATTCCCAGTTTTCCATGGAACCACTAATCAACTGCATCAATTTGGTGCACATGATCAGCGGTGATATGAAAGGAAATCGAAAGCTATTCTGGAGAAATGTGCGCATGGAGTGTGAACGAATGTGCGATGAGGTGCGAGGTGTTGTGTTCAGATGTTAATGCAAAAGAGGCTAATTAGGGTTCCCAGGGTCCGACATTGTCGAAATGGGAGCTGCTTGCTGCTATGCAAGCCCTGGCTATTTACATCATTATACGGCTTGACGACGGAGAAACGGAGTACAATGGCTTCGATTCACTTTTAATTGCGGCGGTTGCAGTGAGTATACGCAGGACCTCACGCTCTATTGACATGGTTCTAATGATATAACA